GCCTGAGCGAAGGGTGCGCGCTTTTAGTGTCACGCCACTCCGACCCTCCTGTCTGTTGATGAAGTTGTAGTTAGAGATGGACTGAGACAGAGTAAAACTATGTGAGTGGACATCTTCAGCATCCTGCAACGACCCTCACTCCTGACTTAGCAAACGGACCAACCGAGTGGCGCGCCAGAGTTACCATCTCCCAGGAATATGTGGAACGACCATAATTAATAGGTAACGGTGGTAGGGTTTACTGAAGCCCAATCGCCAGTTACGACATGGTGGAGTATGCGGGTTTTTCTTGAACAAAATGTTGAAGACGATCCCCATTGCTATTTTCCTTATGGTCGTTCCTACCATTTCTACGACGGTAGGTTATCTTTTCGCGGCTCGGATATGTTATCTGCAGTTTTCTTCTTAGGGTATCTGGAATTGTAATGCCTCGTGGAAACGATTCAAATACATCTACGTCATATGACAGTCCGGTCCAATCTCGTCCCATCACTTCTAACATTTTTACTAATCCAGTCCGACTTGGCATAATACAACCACCGTTTCACCCTCTATCTGCTCCTCGAGACCTCTCTCTATCTCTTTCTCTAGAGGATTTAGACATGTCACTTTTCAGTAACCAACTTCAGCACCAGGCCGGTCTCCCTGATCTGTCCTCTTTAGATTTGTCATCATCTGTCAATAGTTCTTATTCTGCCCCTGACTTCAATATGGGTGACTCCACTTTAATGCCAGAACATTTCACAGGTAGAGACACCTCTCATGCTGCCGAGTGGCTTGACCGTTTTATTCATTTTGGTTACTTTAAAAAGTGAAAATTGAAGTTTCCCACTCTATTTGAAGGACGAGGCGTATCTATGGTTCAGAGATCTGATAGAATCGGCACAGGAAGAAAATCTCCGTTTTGATGAAATTGAGAAATTGTTCAAGGACAAGTATGTCCATCCCACTGACCGTTGGACCCTTTTAGAAACCTTTGTGGATCGAAAGTTATCCCCTACGGAAACTATAGATACTTATTTGGCAGAATTGACCAAGACGGCTAGCCTGTTAGGAAAAACAGATGCAAATTTAATGGACGCCTTCGCTAGGGGACTGGATGACAATACTAGGCGGCATGTGTTAATGAAACAACCAACTGTGCTAAATAATGGACATTTGTTATGTGCTATAATCTACACACTAGTGCATGCTCAAAGCGCAGGGGGAAGAGGGAGAGAGTCAGGTATATACAGAGGACAAAAGGTAAGTCTTAAGTCGTGATTTGAAAGCTGTCAGAGAATCAGAGTCTTTGATATGGACTGGCAATGAATTCCATAGTCTTGGGGCTGCATGAAAGAACGATCGTTTACCAAATGAGGAAAGTCGGAAAGTTGGTACAGTAAGTAGCTTAACGAGGCAGTCTCATTTGCGCGACTGGCTAGATCAGTCATTCCCCAGTCTGAAGACAGTACGGACGTTATGCTTGCAATAGATACGCTGAGAGGACAGATTGCTGAACTTTCGGCAACACTCGCTCCGGTATCGTCACAGGTCAATACTTAAGAGTCCAGACAGAATCAACGTCCCCAGTTCCCCAGACAATCCAGGTATACAGATCGACAGTGGCAGCCCACTCATCAATGGACAGACCCCATTCAAGGACACAACATCGCCCGTGGAAGACAGTGTTACAGATGCGGTGGTGAAAACGATTTTTCTCATTCTGATTTCTGTCCCGCACGGAATATTCAGTGCCATTTTTGTCACAAGATAGGACATTTTCAACGAGTATGCAGGGCTAGGTACCAGCCAGGTAACCCAACTAGCAGATAACAATTACAGTCAAGACCACGCAGGAAGTTTTCCCATTGTACTGAACACACGTTTGACCACACTTATTTGACACCACAAGGTTGTGATTCTCCTCGTTACAACCAGCCGAAATCTAAAGTTTCGCAGACTACATTTGAAAGCGACAACAGGCTTAATACAATTCATGTTGTTTTGGGAGAAAAGTTAGTTTCATCAATTGTAGATTCAGGCGCTGGTTCTAGTGTCTTAAGCCTGGATGTTTTCAATGATTCAGGCCTATGGAAAGAAATATAATGCCAGTATTAGGACAAGTTGTACTTCCCATCACTATTGGTGATTTTCAAACAGAACAATGTTTTCTAGTTGTTGCTAATTTTGAGTCTCCCATGATTTTAGGCTTAGATTTTTTTATACGTCAAGAGGCTGTCATGAATTTTCAATCTTATACCTTGGCTATTCAAAATGGTTCAACAGTTGTTCCAATGAGGGCGAATGGTACTATATTACCACCTGTTGCTGGTAAACAATCAGTCCCCACGAAGTCAGAACACATTCCTGCTCGCTCGCGGCAAAATGTCACAATTGTTCCCCCATCAAAAATGGAACACTGCCTAGGTTTTACAGTTCAGTATCGACCGGGCAAACACTGGCATCCCACAGATATTCCGTCAAGCTTTCCGTATTCAGAATGTTCACCGAATTCAGACAATGGTCTTCCCCAGTCGGATAACTACAACCAAATATCGATTCCAATTGCAACAGATTTGTCATCAGATTTGTATGATGACAGCTCACTTAGAGTAACCGCTGTCCCGACAGGAGATTACTCCAAAACACACGGACAATATGACGAGTCCAATCAATTGCCACCGTGGAGGAGCAAACGACCACGTTATGACAATCGTAAACGACTGAAAGTTCCTGGCCATGCTAAACGGTTTAGACGGTTTGTCAACCACAGACACAGGCCAACTGACCCATTTCCAGTTGTCGTTCGGTACAATCAACTTAATAAACTGCACAAATCTGATACGGATACAGACATGATAACCCCCACTGCTCAGTCGTTAACATCGGAGAGGCATAAAATGTCACCTTGGATTTACAGGAATAATTTGTATAGCAAAATGGATGCGAGCGCGTAGAATGCTCAGTGGAAAGAAATATTCCAGGATTTACTAGGAGAACTGCACTTTACATGAGGTAACTGCACTTTACATGTGGTTACAGATGATCACGAATCCAAAATCCCTGAAGGAGACCTATGATTATATGATACTGAAGTCGTTTAATGAGAAACGAAAGCGTTAGAACTTTTAACAAAATATTTGAAATATTGTTTCGGACAAATTGTTATGATTCGTTACCTTTTTACACTACAAATATCATGTTGAGGACTGATCACCCACACATTGATTGCATGTGTTATATTTCAGGATTATCACTATATGATGCTATACGCATGGTGCTAGTCCATGCTATAGATCATTCTTTGCAATGTTACATGATGCAATTGTCACCAGGTTACAAGGAAATAGTAGTGTGCATATACATGTATGTTGAACTGTGTATTGTTCCTTGTCAAATGTCCAGTTGTGCATATTCAGAATACTTCGACCGCATACAGTCACGTGTTGGTTGATATTGAAGAATACATTCGTATACACGGGTTAGTGACCAAACGCTGCGAATGTTTGGGTCACGTTGCGTACTACTACTTCAAGAATACATTCCCGGGTTACTGACCAAAATGTTTGGTTCAGGTTGTACATATTCCTACTACTTCTACGGGAAGGTTACAGGTCGCGCTGTCCATAAAGGACGTTGTACATATTTCGCGGAACATTACAAAGCGTTTCGCTATGCGTGTTTATCCGAGAAAATTAAATGAATTACGATCTACGGGATCTGACATTCGTGCGTCATATGGCGATACCATATGTTTATGAATACAGTGATGTTCACTGCACTCAGTGAAACGTGATGATGTTCAATGAGATACGGTAATGCACAATAAACTACAGGTACATGACTCGAAAGGCAGTCAAGAGAATTCAGTGTTCAATGGTTATACGGTACCGAAACAAATATGTTCCATGATGAGAAATCTTCTGATGCACGCTGCGAGAAGGTGAGTTCCATATACCATCACTCTACCACCATGCACACTATTATTGTCAAGTCATCATTACCCGTGAAGATCCGGGTTAGATTATTGATCTTCAGTAACCCCATGCTTGTCGTAAGATGCGACTAACGGGATCGGGTGGTCAGGCTCGCTGACTTGGTTGACACATGTCATTGGTTCCAAATTGCGCAGATCGATGCTCATGCTGTTGATCACTGGATTGACTGGTCCAGACTCGATTATTTACAGACCGCCGCCATAAAGCTGGAATATTGCTGAGTGCGGCGTAAAACTAAACTCACTCACTCACTCAAATCATCATTACTACATGTTATAGCTTATTACCCAAAGGAATGCTCAGCATTTTTCAAAGTGTCTAAAACAGTGTCTCCTCGGGACATGTTCCATCTCTGAGTATGCATGAGCAATAAACAAGGCTAGTAGTAAAACTGTCTACAAAAACTTAAAACTCAAGCAAATGCATTTATAAAGTTTTATTTCATATATTAACACGTCAACGTTTTCGAAAAAGTGCTAATGTACAGATACATGTTCTTCAGGATATCCATCCGTCACTATGACAATGTTATTCGAATATAAAAATAAAATGCCGAAGGAAATTCAACATCAGGTTAGAATCTGGAATTTGACGTCATGGATGATCCCATGGTCAGACAAAAGTCGATTTCTTTTGTTTATGACTGATGGCTGTGTTCTGTTTCGTGCCTCAGAAACACTGCATTTGAACAACGGAATATCTTGGAGCAAGCACCGTTTGGCGTGGGGATGCCTCTCACATGGCTCCGAACTTGATAGAAAAGGGTTCGTCACTGACATCACAAGTGGGGTTGTTGTGCTACATTTTGATGACCATCCTCCAAATACAAGGCCAGTCTTCATGGACGGCAATGCTAGGCCACATCGTACCCGTGGCGTTGATGATGTCTGGCGTCATTAGACGATATCAATCTACTTTGACCCTCCAGGAGTCAAGATCTCAATCCCATAGAGCGTGTTTATGATTTCACACGGAAATCTCATCCATCAACCTGATGCCAAAAATTACAATGTCCTTCCACTACATCTTCAATGTTGTCCATGCACCACTTATCATTTTAGACATATCCACTGTTGTATCATCTCTCATCTGTCGTGAAGTATTTTCCAAATCTGTAATCTTTTCCGCTAACGCTCTGCCCATTGTGCTAGGCCAGGACATATCTAAATCTTCATCACAGGGAACGGAAGCACCAGACATACCGGTACCTCGTTTTACCTCTGAAACTACATAATCGTACATCATATGAGAGTACCTATGTCGCAACGTATTTTCAGTAGTATTCCTTCTGTAAGCACCTATGTGTTTCCGAGATCGTGTGCATTGCGATGTTGCTAAATGTTCAAGAACCGTCGATGCAAGATCAAGCGTACCATTGAAACGTGTGGCAGTGGCAGATAATTTGAGTCTTCTTGTGTTGGCCAATGTTCCGGCAGTCATACCACCTGTAACAATATCTCTCAGTCTGTTGTAAATGTGTTCCTTATCTTCTTCACAAGCAGAATTAAGTTCTGTTGTTTCTGCCAATTTCTCTATTAGTTGGTAACTTTGCTCTTCATTTGAGCCCTTCAGGGAAGCCATTGATATCAGATGAAGGAACGTTTCCCAGCGATAGAACAGCATCCCACAGGACTGGATTATGATAAGTAGAGCGAGGAAGATGATGAAGAGAAGTTCAAGGATGTCAATCTTTAGTGGAACAACGTACCCGCTTAGTCTGTACTCAATTCTAAAAGCTGCAGCGTTGAGTAGCTGGAACATAAGGTTGATGGCCATCCAGAGAGCATTCATCATTACCATCATGAAGCAGACGACATTTCTCAGCTCGATTAATTCAGTCTTGTTCTGGTTTTCTTTCAGAGGATCCTTTTCTATCGGTTTTAAATACTTATCAATTAAATCATTCCAGAAATCCTTTTCTTTGCCCACTAGTGTCAGAACTGGTCCATTTCCTAGTGCAGGATCATGAGCCCAATGCTTTCCTCTGTAAAAGTCATTTTCTGTTTCATCTTCAGCTGGTAGTGGCTCTTCCGCAGACACATTTAAGCTTATAGGAAGAAAACTTTCACAAGAAGACTGACTTTGGGGCTCTTTTCCTGCTAACTGGTCTAACTGTTCCGGCACATTGCGATACGTTTGTGTCGAAAGTGTCACAGCATCCTGCCTGTCTTTGCTTGATGACGATAACTTAAGTTTTAGCTCCTGTAACAGTTGTTTGAGTTCTTGGATGGAGGTGGAACTGAAGAAAACACGTGCAAACAAACCATCTACCTTCTTCCCGCTCTGTGGAGCTTCCCTTTCAGCCTTCAGCTGCTGCTTTGTTTTCCTCTCTGGAATCTCGCGAGTGCCCCAGGATACGATGTTCAGATTGCAAAGTGAATATATTAACAGTAAAATGTATGTTGATGGAATACACAGAAAGTACAAAAGTCCATGAGGTAAACAACCTTTTTCTTTCCAATGGAGCAGCCCAGACATGATATACAAAACAGGAAGAATGATGGTAAACAGCACACTCAGATGAAGAACACTTTGCTCAAAGGCAATCACAATAGTTCCAGCAATGACAACCATCATTATGAAGGCATAAATAGCACTAAATAGTGCCGCAACATTGAGCTGAATCTTTGTAGAGGCGGTCAAGCAAGTGATTGTAAAGATGGTTGGAATCAGCAAAGATATCAGATAAGCATATATCAATCCGGGGGCGAAGACTGCTTCAATGGCACCGGCAATCATCAAGATGACAGTGCCAGGTGTTAAGATGGTGCCCGCCATCATCGCTGTCTGGTATGTAATGTACAAGTAGCTGACGTTGGAGTTCCGAGCTACAATGGCTTCAGATGACGATAACAGGTCTATAATATTGGCGAGGATGGAAGGAATCCAACGTCTTCTCTGGTTGAAGAACTCATTGAATCCTTCTGGGGCATACGTGTAGGCGGCAGCGGCAGCAGCATAGTCTAGTCGATATCCCTGCTTAAGCAGCAGTGTGCTCAACCATCGATCTTCACCTGGGAAAAGTAAAGCAGCTTTACATATTCTGAAAAGTAATGCATTCGTGCTGATTGGGAGTACGTTTTTTCGAGAAAAACAGTGTCTATACTAAAACGTATCACGCTTTGGTACCTTGGTCATATTGAAGGAAGTGTCCAGGTTTGGTTGGCAGTGTTGTGTATGTCCTCATAATGTTGTCATCCATTAACGCCGAGGCTCTGAGGAGGGAGAAGCACCCAGGAATACAGAGGACGCTCCCCAGCACTTGCTCAGTAGATTTCTGTAGCCAGTGGCCTATAGCATATTCAAACTTCTGGTACCACACAAGAGGCCCTGCAGAGAAATAATTATCAAGGGTTATTATGTAGTGGTTATATGATACCCGTGAAGATCCGGGTTAGAATTGGTCTTCAGCAACACATGCTTGTCGTAAGGGGCGACGAACGGGATCGGGTGGTCAGCTCGCTGGCTTGGTTGATACTTGTCATCTTATCCCAGTTGCGCAGATCGATGCTCATGCTGTTGATCACTGGGGTGTCTGGTCCAAAACTCGATTATTTACAGACCGCCGCCATATAGCTTTAATATTGCTGAGTGCGGCGTTAAACAACAACCAACTGGTTCTAGGAACGCTCCAGGGGCATGCATGATCTTTGGGACGTGCGATACATAGGATTAAACTATACAATCTGACATTAGTTTAGTTTTACACTGCTTTTATTCCAGCAATATGACAGCGGGGTTATGCATTATTAATAGGCATACCTGAACCAATGGGATGAGTTCTGCCAGTGACCGCACCAACATTATCATTTGACATTTTTTCCAGCAGGGATCTGACCGCCCCAGGACAGAAATCTACGTCGCCATCAAGTGTCAGAATAAACGTATTCTTGCTCTGAAAGTGGAATAAAATATGCATCAACTCTTTTACACGTGTGTTAATGTTGTTTTGAAAGGCACAATGACTATTACAAACATTGTTTGAAGTGTATGACAATACGAGGACAAACATTAAACTAATACATTTGTATTGATGATTTAACTTAGTTTATTTTACAATGCAATTGTAAATTAAATCAAAATTCTTTATTTCACAGAATAGTTTAGTTCTTTTCCTGGTGAACTTTTCAGTTTCAACTTAAGAATCAACACGCGAAAAACACTCTATTCCAGGATGAGTTTCCTCTGACATTGACTCCTCCGGAACTCTTCATCACAACATACTCAGAGCATAAACCTTCTGAAAGTAAATGTCATGGGTATGGCACAAGGTTGTAGCCTACCTTTCATGCATAACTGAATTTTGACTACGGGTCATGATTACTTACCTTTTTTCGAGTGTCCAAGTCAATCATTTCGCTGATGTGCTTTTTGTCAATTGGTGTGTCTTTATTGATTTGTTTAGCGATGTCTTGAGCAGAATCTTTCAGGATTTGATACCCCAGTAAATAGTACATGTACATCACCTGCAACAACGACCAGAAGCTCGGTGTGGTTCTTCAAATCAAACTGATACGTCGGGGTTATCCATGTGCTAAAAGACTGCAATACTATCGGAATGGACATTAAAGGTACTCAGCTTGGTTTGCTTAATGTTGCTTTGAACAGTATTCCAGTTTTAGGTGAGGTGAAATTGGGTTTTACGTCGTACTTGAGAATATTTCGCTCACATGACGACGTGCATGCGTGTGTATGTGTATGTGCGGCTGCTTGTACTAGTCCAGACTTAAGCTGGTTTTATAGTGCTAGCTCACTGAGATACCATGCCGCAGTGAAGCATGCATACCCCGCTCAGACACATTATACTGACTCCGAGCCGACCAGTCCTTGTTGTACCCATTAGTGACGAGCGCCAGACAGAGACCAACAAGTACCACATTTTAACGTCTTTTGGTATGACGCGACCGGGGATCGAACCCGCGACCTTCCGCTCTCCGGGCGGACGCTCTAACCACTACACCACAGAGGCGGTCTGATATTCCAGTTTTATATTTACCTCAGCTTGTCAGCTAGTGTTGGATGAAAGGTTTAAGTGATTCCGGTTCTAAACATTTGCCATATAAGTGAAACCCACGTAAATGGGCACGGTACTGAGTTATACGTAGAAACAACGAACACAGGTCAAACTCATAAGTGTGGTATGCCCAAGGGCGGCAACTCTGCACTGCAAATTGCAGCACCTTAGACGACAGGACCAGCCATTCCCCACGTAGCTAAATCTTTGTTATATGGACACTTCTTGGTTGTCTATTTCATTAAAAAAAAAGAAACCATTATTGTAACGGAAAATTGTATTTTTTGTTAGCGGCTAGCGTTGACTTTTGTGTGTGAGTATCTCCCTTACATTACTTCCGGTCTCTCTGTGTGTCTCGTGAGGACATAATGCGTGAGAAAGCCGGTATGTGAATAGTATCGTACAATAATATTTTTGGATGACACATCGTATCAAACCAAGATTGGGAGATGCAATAAATAATTAATACTATTCAGAAATCAATTTGTTGTGAGTACACTAACAATTATTGAAAGGGAATGGTTTTACATTTCAACCTTTGGTACAGTTCACTAAGTACTCATGCTGGCCTTCAATCATTCATGTAAGTGGCCATCGTTCCAATAATTACTAAAATGTCATTTATAACCTGTTTCCTGACTTGCAAGGTTTATCCAGTATCCCTTGGTGCTGGGATGACTTGTCTCCCTCATTATCATGAACCATTTATAATGGGCACGACTTCATATACCTGATTGTGACACTTGGTCGTTCGGCATCCATGTATGAATCGCTGTACATAGATGTTATATACTACACACGTCACCCAGCACCAGTGGATCTCACAGGACTCCGCAGAGGTCTAGTAGAGGAATGGAATGCGATTCTGCAAGCTATCTTTATAAACTTGATAAAGAGCATGAGAACAAGGTACCCGTGTGTCTTGGAAGCGCGAGGAGGGTACACAACATGTTAAATGACCGAGTGCTTCATGTTTGTCATTTTCATTTTCATTATGATGACACTTTTAGTTCAATTACTTCTGAGAAACCTTTCTTTACATGTGCTATGTATCATTTGACCCTTTATTAATGATGCCTGGTAGGAAGCATTCACGGCATGTTGTTATCGGGAGAGCCACAACCATGAGAAAGCAAGGATCATTATCGGAATCGTGGGATCCTGCCACGTCAAAGGGATGCAACTAAATGGCCATCACTAAATCGTTGCCCTAACCATTAACTTTAGTAGATATGATTGAAAGCTTGGTAGTTACCTGTGACCATCTCTTCCTGTGTCGGATCTTGTTTTTATCTTTCAGGTGCACATATAACAGATTCCCTCCTGGCATCTCCCAGATGAGCTGAGCCCCGTACGGAGTGATGACTTTGTAGGGATCGTGCAGATGGAGGTACCTCCGGTGAACAGCGCTAGGGAACAATATCATATATCATTTTTTAAAAGGTGAAGTTCAATCTCACGTTCAAAATTATAGCAGTTATGAAGCATGCACGTATGTGTGTTTATCTGCCTGCTGTCCAGACTATTTTCTGTAGTGATAGTCCAGTCAGACAAAGTATGCTACTTCGCGCCGACCCGTCCTTGCGTTGTCCCTTATATGACATAAAGGACAGCGAATAGACTAACATTTATTCGCTGAATATATATATATATATTGGTGATAGTAACAAATGAACACATTTAAATTGAAAAGGAACCCCAGTGACTTAGGAGATTCATGATTTGCAGAGATTGCTATGCAGTTGGGAAAATAGATTGTGAGATTAGGCCAGGAGCCAGGAGCTGAAAATTGACATATTGGTACCACTCAGAGGGAGGGACCAAAATGTTTAGTGCTTTTTATATTCCTTTATGTCTCTATATATCAGAAAAGTATGATGGACATCTCCAGTTGGTAGCTCAAACTCAGAACGAGGCTAAATCCAAGATGGCCGCCAATTTTTTTCAAAAAATGTTAATTCCAAGCTTTAATCATGAGTAAAGTTCAGCAAATAGGTTGGAAATGAAACAAGGGAGGTAAAATGGTGCTAACATGATTAGAAAGATTTAATAAAGTCGTGTTACTTGATACCTTTAAGGTTTTGTAAGAGTCAAAACTGGACATGTCCACCGGGTTTGATTGACTCACTTCAAGCATTCACATGCCACCTTAATGCCTCGGGTTCTTCCATAAGGGATGTCAATCAATAACCACTCCAAAAAACATAAAAGTGTTTGGTCCCTCTGAGTGGTACCAAAACATTGCTGACTCATGGCCTAGATAGACTAGGCAGCGAAATACCACATTTTAAAGCATTTTTGTAGGGCACAGCAACAATTGAATTTCCACTCTCTAGTCAAAAGCTCTGCCCATTAGACCCGGATGCGGTCACAAGAAGAAGAAGGCTCTGAACCGAAGGTGAACCTAACCTGCATGACTCTGCCAGAAACACATGACAATCTGGCAAGTACAAAACCCAGGCTGCCTGTGAGGCTCTTGATGATAACAGTCGCTATGCTATCCTCCATCCACACAAACATGAAAACAAGGGTAGATCATGAAACACGTGTTCTCAGACTGTACGAGGAGAGGTCTTCTGACTTAGTACCGAGCTGTAGTTCAAGTCCCCACAATAGAGGGCACCAACGGAAGCAGAATCCACGATTACAGTCCTGACCTGGCACCGAGTGACCCAGTGATTATAACCTGTTTCGTAAATATGAAGTCTCACTTGCGTGGAAGACGATTTGTCAATAATGAACTCAAGGCTACAACAGAAGCTTA